ACACACACACACACACACACACACATACACACATACATACACACCTTCAATGACCGTCAGAAACCCCAGAATCTGAACACCAGTTTGTGTGGGGTTGTGAGCATGCATGTATATACAAGATTTCAAAATCCCAATGTTTACTTATTTTATAATGCACGTCGCCCCTTCCTTCCTTCTCCTCATCCAGCCTGCGTCCAAGCAACTSTACGAAGATGAAACCACCTCCTCTGTGTTCGGTCTGAGGTCTGCGTTCAACCCATCTCCATCCCCGTCCCCATGCGGCTCAGATCGCCCCCTTCTGGGCTGGAGCAGCAACAACAGTAGCAGCAGCACAGCCACTTCGGCCACGACGGGACCGCCTGTCGCCGAAAAACCCCGCTGGCACCTGGGAAGACGCACACCAGCTCACTTCATACCACACGACATCCCAGGTAAAAACAAAAAAACAAAACTGAAAAAAAACTTAAACTGAGTCTAAATGGAAAAAACCAGCTACGTCAACAATAAACAAACGTAAAATGATATTGATTAAATCAGTAATGGTTAAATGTGCCAGTTTCCCTTTTTTTAGAGGTAATTTCGAAAGCTTGTTGGTTTTATTTATTTTTGATTACAGTAGGGACTGGAGGGGGGAGAAGTTATTCAAAGTCATTGCTTTCATTGCAAATTGAGCCTCCAGGATGTTTATTCACAGTTATCRAGGATGTGCTTTCTAAATATTCTGGACTAAATCAGCATGCACGCTATAACTCTTCCCGGATCCTTCCTCTGGAAAGTTTGGATYGGCACAAACACAGTTTCTCCAAAAACTCATGAATGTTTCATCACCTTGATGAGCAATCTGAAGCACTAACCCAGTTTGCAATATTTCAACAGCAAAAATGCGAACAARTAAATGGCTTTCAGTATGAATTTGGTGGTGGAGATGAAATAAGAATGGAATGACTCCTCGCTCAAATGGTTATTCAAACAGCCAAATGGAGAGACAGTTTCACTGTGTTGGGTTGTTTGAGTTATTTGACATGCAAAAAAACAAAATCTGATTCTAGTTTTTCAGAAGTTACAGTTGAGTAAATTGCTTTACAGTTACTCAACTCGGTTTAGTAAAACCAGTCGACATAACTTTGTTTAGTAAATTCAGCACTTCATTTTTTTAGAGTTTAAAAGTATTTTCATTGTTCATTTTCAGATTATTGTGATCAGTTTTATGACTTWTACTGTTTGYATCYGTGAAATYAGTTTTTACCKAAGTCATTTTCTGTTAAGGTATTTTTTCCCCAGTACTTTATACACTTGTTCTGGTTTCTAACTGTTCCAGGAAGAAACAAAACTAACTTCTTGAAAATATCTTTCTGTTGAATGTCTTCAACAAGTTAAGCAGACTTTTTAACCTAAATGAAATGTCTGTGATTCATTTGTTTATTCTGACAGCCAGAAAAATAAAACCCAAGCATGTGCAGTCTAATGATAAAAAAAGATTCTCTAATTGTTTTATTGGACATCCTATTGTTATTAAATATAAAGAAAGCCTATGGCAAATACAATAAAGTTAAATTGTCCAGATTAGGGGATATGTTTACATTTATTACATGGATGGATGGACATTGTATGGATGGATGGATGGATGGATGGATGGATGAATGGATGGATGGATGGTG